TGTTGGCGAGATTACTGAATACCCCCATTACAAGGTGCGTGAAAACCACCACCAGCATCAAAATACAACTCTGATAGCAAATAAGTTAAAACAGATGTTCTATCAGTCATTTATGTATCTAATTTCGAATCCTCTCAATCCTCTCATTTTCGAAGATTGCTTTATGTATTTATTAATATTGCTTTATGCATCTAATTTCGAATCCTCTCAATCCTCTCATTTTCGAAGATTACCTTATGTATTTATGTATCCCAAAATTTCTGTATACAATTTGATCGTTTGCTAACATTAATAGTTTGTATTCTCTTTAAAAACCGTTTATATGCTGGTTTATATGTATGTATACTTTTTCGAACATTGCGATTGGAATTTTGCTATCTCGCAAAGCTTCGAGGGATTCGTCGTAAAACCAACGCTTGGAAAAGATACCAAATTTTAACGAGCCAACATTGGAGTATATTTTACCACGCCTTTTAATTAATAAATACATTTTATTAAAACAAATTAACGTCGTTTTGATCATATTGACGACACATACTATATGTTGGATGTCTCCAGAACAGTGATACTAACATTTTGTATACTTTTTCACCTTTCCTTTGCCCAACCCCTACATTATGTATACCTTTTTATCCGCGCTGCTTAGATCTATCAACATAAATCGATAAGTGATCCAGTCGTATATTTAAGCAAATTATGAAAAAAGCTATACAATATTTTCTTCATAAATTGTGAACAAAACTATTGATTTAACATTTAAACATTTAAAGAATCTCTACAATGCTACGTGCATAAATACTTATATTAGAGAAGTGAGTCAGCATTTCTTTCGAATAAAACATAATAAAAAGTGTACATTGGGGAGCCCATCGAAAATGTTTTTTTTTCTTGGAAATATCAAGATTTCAAAAATTTTCAATATGGAGCTTAAAAAGCCTAGGCAAAATTTTTATACTAAATTTGGTTGCGATCGGTCGAGTAGTTTTTGAGATATGCATATATCATATTAAGTGGGCGGTGCCACCCCCATTTTCCTAAAATTTCGTGAAAACCCACTTCTCTGCTAAAGAACGATTGTATATATTAATTTTGAATAAATATTGATGAATTCTTTAGCCATGCTGCTCAAAAAATTTAAAAGTGCGGTACATAAACAATATAAATTCAAGGCTGTATTTAAAAAAGTCGCCTAACTTCGAATTTTTTATGCGATTGCAATAAGTGAGCTGTGAGTTTATTTAAAAATAGATTTCATTTTAGATAGTACTTCATATTTTGTACTACATATTTTGAAATTGTAAAAATTATCGATGGTCAAAATTTAAAAAGATTAACAGAAATATGTTTTTTTTTATTTAACCCGATAAAAATCCCAACAAGTCAAGTCCGACAATAGATTATTATAAACCATTTTAAAAGCCTATATATCCTGTTCTCAGGTCATATTCGATCTTTGAAATCGAATCAAAAATAGTCATTCAAAAACTCGTAAATCTACAAAATCGTATTTTCTGACCTAAATCGACCTCTAAATGACCTTTAAAAAATCTATAAAGAAAAGGCAATAATATTTCTCATAAAAATTATTAAAATTAGGGGGTAGGATCTTGACATCTCCAAAACAAAACATTTTCGTTGGACACCCTAATGTACAAACATATGTATGTCTACATTTTTTGTCTCCACTTAGGTATCAACAACAGAAAAGTGCTGATTGTCAAAAGCAATTAAAGTCGTAATTTATTCTTCATTCTAGAATAAAGCAAAAAGAACAAATTGTTAAATCTCCTTTAAGCAGCTTTAAAATGTGTCTATGCGCGACAAGCATAATGAAATAAACAAAAATTAATTCCTTCTCCAGACTGAATTCCAGGGAATTGTTAATTTACTGGCCGGGCTGTTGGTATTATCTAAGCAAACTAATAAGTCGAAAGCACTGAAATGAAAATTTCGCTTTGACATTGCTACATCATTTTGATTTCTGAAATTTCCCATGCATGGCTGGACCAATGAATTAATTAGTTAATCATTAACAATATAACATAACAAATGCATCTCGAGTATAGTATAACATTTCGCCGTAAAACTTGGTAACAAGCAGTTTCGTTAACTACTTAGTAATAAGCTTGATGCACAATGAATTAGCTTTGATATTTGTGACATATTTATCACAACATCACATCATACACTGAGGGAAAAAAATATTAAAATCAAATAGAAACGTAATTGATCTTACTATAAACGTCAACGAAAGTACTGTATATTGGTAAATATTCAATTCAATTACGCGCATATTAAAATGACCGCGTTCATACTGAAAAAGCATCCGCGAAGTGAATAATCAAGACAAAAACTAAAAAAAAATTTAATTTGCATGTTGCATGTTGGCAGTGGAATTCGAACCCGTCCATCTCCGGATATCAACAACTTGTGGCAAGCATCTTTGCGCACTCCGAGTTGAGCCTTGGGCCACGGCATAAAGTGAGGGAGCTCCACTCTGACTTACTCGGTTTATGGGCGCACTGTATTTCTCAGCGTCTGTTCACAAGAGGCGCAAATTCGATGTTGCATTTGTGGTACAAGAGAGGCCACCAATTCTGTCGTTCACCGAATGCCTGGCAATTTCCATGCTAGGGTGGACAAGGAAGGGCTCTTTGGCCTCACCGTCAGAAAATACAGCATCCGATAACGGACTGAGGCCGATTGACTTCTCCAGCGCCCGAAACAGGGTATATTGCAGTGCTATGTTCAGGTATAAAAAGATCCATCAAGCTGCTTGGCAGTCTCCACATCGAAAAACAAAAAAAGCAAATCGATTATTTTATGATAGATGGAAGGCACGCTTCCAGTGTTTTAGACGGACGTACACTCCAGGGACCAAACAGCGACTCGGACCTCTACCTTGTTGCAGCCAAGATACGTACCTGCCTCTTCAAAATTTTGCGACCAATAATTAAGGAAAAGCTCACCGTCGAAAAGCTGCAATCACAACAGTTGGCCAAATTGTTCGCTACTCTCACAACGCTCTCAGAGAGTACTCTTCAACAAACCGATAATTCAACCGCCGAAAAGGAGTCGGATTTCAGCGAGCCCGAAAGACCAAACAAATTCATGCATACTCAAAATTTATTAATTTCTTTAAAATATTGAAATTAGTCAATTAAATCAACGCGCCACTTGAAATAAATAGCATTGTATTGAAAATGTTAAAAATAAATATAAATATAAAAGTACATATTTATAAATACATAACTACGCCCAGCATAAATATTTTTTTTAAGTTGTTGACACCTTTCGTAGTCGTGGGTTTTATCAGTCCACAAATGTGATATTTTTTGAAACTTCCATCAAAAAGATAATACGCGTTTAGAGCTCGCTTATGAGATCGTAGTATGCAGGTGCGAGAATTTCTGAATACTCTCTGTCCACCTTGAGCACTTTTAAATAAAATTTATAGGACATAGCCGCAAACTTCATTGCTGCTGAGTTTCCAAAGACATGGTGCCCTGAATGTAATTTTTCAAGATTCCTAAGCTAAGAGGATTCATAAGTAAGAACATTTAAAAAAAATCTATGCTGTAAGACATACAATTATTTCAGACGCAAATGTTTTTAGGATGACGAGATGGAAACGTCTAATCTTTTTCTTTTAAATAGCGTGCCTTTTTAATGCAAAGACTTCAACACATCATTTCGTACGTTCTCAAAATCCCAGAAGTATGCAGGGTGTCCAATAAGTACCACGACCAAATCAATGAGAAGCTAGATTGGGGGGCGACCTCCATGATAAGAACAAATTTGTATAAAATTATCATAATTTTTTAAATTTTGATATTTTTTAAGTGGATATAAAGTACTAGTAAAAACAAATATTTTAAAACAAGCTTTCTAAATATGAACTATATCGGACCATAAATACTGGTTTACCAACTATTTCGACTCCTGCACCACCTATCTAAATATAAACCAAATCGGACCATAAATAGGGGATTTTCAAATATTTCGTCTCCTGTGCCACCTATCGGATTAACTTCTCTTTCGTATTGCATTGTCATCGGGTTCTGAGCCAACTGTGAAGTTTCAAGTCTCTAGACAAAATTTTCCCCTAACAAACATACAAACAAACATACATACGGACCAAGTTAAAAAAAAAAGCTGGTAAAAGGTTGTAAATGCCCAATATACTGTTCTTAAATTCGTACACAACCTCTAATAGAACAACAACCCAAATCAAATTCCCTTGTCGAAATAATGATAATATGCCACACAGATAGTCAACAGCCCCACCACGCCACTCTCTTGCCCCAGCAAAAAAAAACACACACAGACAATTCTAGTGGGGCGCAGCTGATGAAGATGGACGAGCTTTGTCACTCATTAACTTAGCCCAAACGATGCTACAACCAAACGAATCTGTGTGCAAGTGTAAATGATTTCCGCAAAACGCCTGCTAACAAACAAAACTTAAGGAGAAATATTTTAGGGAGGGGGTGAAGAGAGCGCGACTTACCTTAATAATTTGATACGCTTTGATTTGGACCCCCTTGCAGCGCCACATGCACCATGGCGATCGATCAAACTGCTTGTCTTCAACAATAATTCGCAACAACATCCGCTTGTAGTTGTTGTTTCTATAAACGCTAGAGCTGCTGTCGCCGCTGTTGAAGTTGGCTGTTGTTGTCTATGACACTCTGAGGTGTGTTTACTTTTATTGTTGTTTTAATAAGTTGATGAGTGTTAATCTTCGTGAGTGGGGCTTGCTTATTCATCGCTTGGAATGTTTGTTGTTTTAAGCATTTGCTGTTGTTTAAACTAAGTATCTACTGCCTAACTGACTCGAAAACAACAACAAAAACGTAATGATTTTATGAGACATGTCATTAAACTGATGCTGATGCTGCGGTAATGCTGGCATTAATGTTTGTACCTACATAGATGTGACGGCAACTGACGCGCTGAAATTGGTTATGGCAACATTTTGAGCTAACTCACGAAATTTTAACACTGCGCGCGTGCGCTCTCTCAACACTTGTTTAAAGTCGTTTATTTAAGTAACAATAAAATTTATTTAAATATTTTGTCAAAAGCATTGTTGTAAGCGTAGATTACAAGCACAGTGGGATCATTTTTGCAAATGACAAATAAAGACGATGGAGGGAAAATTTATTTATTATTAAAATTTTTCATTAAACCTGATAACATTAATTTTGAATTTGGTAATGCGGTGGCAACTAACTTAATTTTTATTTATTTTTTTTAATAAACTTTCTTATACCTCTCTCGTTTGACAACCATATTATAATATTTCTAAACCACACCTCAAAAATAGTTTCGAAATAAACATATTAAAGCATTTCATTAAATTTGTTCATTAAACTGATCTGGAATTTCTAAACAGGCGGTCCTCTTCGAAAATCTGTTCGCAATGCAGTTTTCTTAGACATCTCTTTGATTTGATTCGCATATAAAATATTTCATTTAACTTGTTGATTGAGTTGATTTCGAACCCCTAAACAGGTGGCAACTCTCTTAAAAATCTTTCTTAAACCTCTCTCGTTTAGTATACAGATAAAAATGTTTAATTTCACTTGTTAATTACATACATAGGTTTTAACATTTTTAACAGGTGGCAACCCTCGAAATAAACCGCTATAAAATCCCTTTCGTTTGACATCCAAAATTTTGTTGAGCAACCAACATACCCAAACACTCACAAACTTTCAAATTTATTAATAAGATTTAGTTGAAGCATTTTATTTTCCAGGAAATTCTTAGTTCTTGCCCATTTAATTACAAAGATATTTTTTTTTGTAACTGTTGTCAAAGGATTTTATTTTTTTTAAATTCGAGTGACAACAATTTTTTGTAGTTATCTATTGGGATAAAATTCGCATTCACACATGCGATAAAGATTTCTATATCTCTTGTATACTTGCTCCACCGTGCGATGGCAGCTGTTCTTTGTTTTTTGTCTATTGTACCTTTTGCTTTATTGTTATTTCCTCCGTTGCTGATTTTTGTTGTTGGGCTTGCAAATTTTTAGTAGCAAATAAAAAACATAACGTGTCAAATTTGTTAAACTTAGTTTCAGAAATGTGAAGGGAGGTAGTATAAAGTCCAAGTGACTGTGATGCGCTGACTTCAGTCAAATTAGCTGAACGGCCTAGACGTGAACGGGCAAGTGTTGCACGAAAAATTTGCCTTTGGCGAAAGTGAAACGTGTGGATTTTAAAAAATAATATATTTATATATCCAATTAACGAAATTTGACTCAAGGATCGACATGATTGCGGTAATTCTAATACGTTTTAAGTGCTATGCAAAGGGGCAGCCGCCAAAAATATTATAGATGCTAAAAGTGAGAAAATATTGCTAAAAATTCACAAGTCAGAGAACTATCACAAAAACAAAAAAGTGGTTTTCAAAAGTTTTTGTAAAACATATCTAACACAAACATAGTTACAAAACACGGTTTGGTGTGCACTGTTTTTATTGGACATTATACTTGTTTGGTGCATGACGAGCGGGAGAGGACTTTACTTCTAAAATGCCACTCAGTCCGAAATAGCACTTACTGGCAAGAGTGATTCTCCGTTGGATTCCGAAGGCTAACATTTTTATTGTGTTCATGCTGTGCTGCGTCCTAAATAATTTAGGTCGTCTACTTTTTCAAACTTATAACTGTCAACAGTGGTGTTAAAGTGGAGATGCCTATGACCTGACTGTTTATCGGATAACAGGAAATTCTTGTCTTCGTTAGATATACGCGCTTTTCTTCTCTATATAATTTCAAGAAGACAGAACTTTCAATATCACATCACACGAAAGGGAGTCACCTTGCTTGAAACCTTGTTTGGGATCAAGCGAATGCGGCTTCAAAATCGACAAATATATAGTGTGTATCGATCCTATTCACGCGAATCTTTTTCAATATTTAGCATATTGTGTCAGGTCTAAAACCACACTGATAAAACCGAACCAGGGCTTTTGCGGAGGGCTTCCGTTTTCAGTGGTAGTTGTCCATATTCTTCATAAGAGTCTTGTTTCCTTCTTCAGCTCTCTCTAACCGGCCACATAGCTCGCCTTACGTCTGATCGCAGCGTGGGTCTGTAGGCGGCATCCTTTTTCTCTTCAGCTTATAGACACTCCTCATCGTACCAGTTGTTCTTTCGGTCTCTCTGTATCTCGACTACTTCTTAGGCATCGGTACTTAATGCGGTTTCACTGCACGCTGATGTCACTTTGTTGCAGACTGCTCTCTAAGAACAAGTGTGACAGTCGAGCAGCGAATAATTTGGCCGTTTGTTGTAATGCAGCTTTGAGCTTTCCTTGCATCCTTGGACGCAAATTTTTTTTTGATCCGAGTCGATTTTTGGCCCTCGGAGTGTACCAACGCACGTCTAAAACACTGGCAGTGTACCTTTCCTCCATGACAATGTGATCTGTTTGGCTTCTCGTTTTCCTTGTCTTGTCCTGTCCGTCGTATTTCTCAAATGGCCGTGATGTCATCCTTAGTCTTCTGGAGCACATTCACCAGCCGTTCTGTGACACCTTTTCCATTAAGGATATTCCAGGGGTATGCACCTAAATCATAATCCTTTATACGTTTTCCGTGTTCGTCATCAAAAGGAGTGTGAGTGTCCCTCATTCAAGGCTTAGCTTTTCTTTTCATTGGGAAGTGTTTTTGAGTGACGGGTCCCAAACTCAGCCCGTATGAGGCTTTTCGCTCCCTCACTTTAGCTCCCTCTCTTATTGGGTCGCTATTCAGAGGACACGGGGATATAAATATTTGGGGGTCGTGGACTTCAATTGAATCGGATGCAAAGGAATAACTTCGGGCCACTCCCAGCTGAATGACAGTCAAAAATTTTATAGGGATTGAAAGCTAATATAGCCCACCCGATATATTCTATCACTTTTTTTTAATAAACTGTCCTGTAGCTCCCGTGGTTTCTATTGAAAATTCTGTAGCATTTGGTGCGCTTAAACATTGAAAATAATTTTACATTAAAAATCAGGTTTAAATTCATAGCCATTAAGCTGAATAAAATTGATTTCGTCGAATCGAATTAATTTTAAAGCAAGTCAACTTAAAATAATCCCTTACGGCTGTTACTTCAGTTTAGCAAAATCTTATTAGAGCAGACGTTCGCCTGCTCTACATAAATTGAATTAACGTTTAGCCATTAAAATAATTTTCATTTTAATCGAAGCTAAATTTATTTTGCATATCTTACAGCACTACAATATTTCGCCATGTCGGCAACCGCTACTACTCAGCATCGCCGTTCTGCTCATGATAGGGCGCACGCCCATCTCATTGGCGCTACCCATCATGAAAGACTCACCCATCCAGACAATTATTGTGCCATATCAGCCGAATACGGCGAGCGGTCATCCATCTCAGTTTCCGAAGCTGATGAATGAAAGTCGACAGGTGTTGGTGCCCGCTACAATGAAAGTGGTGCCGCGTTTTAATCTCAATCAAAGTACTATGGCCATGGGCAGTCTAAATGGCACGCCGCTAAACTTTGCCGATGGTGCCTATCCTGTCTACTATATGCCCAGCAGCGTGAATGGCAAATTTAATGGTAAAATATCTTTGCTGGACGGAGTGGTGAAACCATAAATGGGCGGAGAAACATGAAGAAAGTTTCTAAGTAAACACTAATTTAATGCGCATAATTAAAATGTTATTTAAATAATTTAATTTATTTAAAAAGAACTTGTATTTCTAATTATTTAGTTAATTCACTGTGATACTGAATGTACACAATATGTATGTATGTAGTCCCTTCAAGGCAAATAATTTTAGTGATTTGTATATTTAAAGAGACTTGTAATAAACGTACTCATACGTACATACGTATGTATATAGACAGCTACAATAAATAATGCAAAAAATTGAAAATGTTTGGCTGATCAATGAATATGCATATTTTGCAGAAAGTTTATGCAAATAGTTATTTATAGAAATGAGGTACATACATATGTAGGTATGAGAGAAAGCAAGAGAAGCAAATTTTTTTGTAATTTATGATATCGTAAAATATTTTTTAACGAATTTCATTAACTTTCAGTACCCAATGAATTTTTTATTTCATTTTCGTTAGCTGAGTTAGCTTTTTGTTTAAATTATTTACTGCATACTTGGTTGTAGTAAAGAGAGGAGCAGTTTTTATGGAAGTTACCCTTTTTTCTGCTAAGATATTGGGCAGTTTTGATCAAATCTTAACGCCCATTTTTGCCTTTTTCATGATGCCTGTTTCAAGTTAAACTTCTTCGCGTTCGTTTGGGAGTTAATGCGAAACGAAAAAACGACACCTACGTTGGACTCTAGTTTCAAACTGCAATGAGAAGCAAGAGCGACAGAAGAAGAAAAGAGATAACATTAGCATTAACATTAACATTAACATAAACATAAACATAAACATAAACATAAACATAAACATAAACATAAACATAAACATAAACATTAGCATTAACATTAACATTAACATAACATAAACATACAACATATAACATAAACATAAACATAAACATAAACATAAACATAAACATAAACATTAACATTAACATTAACATTAACATTAACATTAACATTAACATTAACATTAACATTAACATTAACATTAACATTAACATTAACATTAACATTAACATTACTAACACTGAGATTAAGTTTATTATGCAAAAATAATAATAACTTTTATTTGTCTTTAAATTTTTCACAAAATTGTAATATCTAATAATAATAATAATAGATTAGCGCTTATACATATGTTAGTGTTTGACAGAGATTCTCCTCTAATTTGTGGCATGCGACTTACAGTTCTAAGCCGACTCCGAACGACGGGCGTATTTTTATCAGAAATACACTCGGAGGTTTGCCATTGCCTGACCAGGGCTTGAAATGCTCTGCAAAAAATCAGTACATAGATTTTTAGAGAAACAACTACTACAAGAAAATTACAAAACATTATTTTACTTAAAAAAACAACAATTTCAGGTTAAAAACACCTAAAGTGACTAAATAGATCAGAAGGACAATAATTCATTTTAACAATTTTCATAGAAACAACACAAATTATTTCATTTGAGGACTAAGTTAATCAGAAAAAAGTTATGAAAATACAATGCTGTCTATAGTAAGACGCGGTAACACTAAGAAAAACTAAGAACGTAAATTTTTTCTGAAAATGTGCGTGATAATTTTTTTTTTTTTTTCGCTCAGATTCGTACATTGCGGTACATACCCAAAATCTGTCTAAGGAATTTAATTAAAAAGGTTTGAAACTAATATTTATATGGCTTTTGAAAAGGAATAAGTTTAACAAAGAAATGCTGGAGAGGAGTCAACTTTTTGTCAATGCCTCTCTTTAGCCCAAGTTCAGTTTCCACCCATATATGTCTATAAATATTGCACCTGACCGAAACTACGAAACAAAAACTACTGAAATCACACTCTCTTATGGCACCCTTCAGAAGCATACAAAACTAAGCAAACTTCTGCCACTAAAATTTTTGCCAGTAGGAGGTGCTTAACAAGCAAAAGTTGTAGCAAATCCCTGTCATGATATAAAAATAATAACAGCAAATATAGCAGAGCTGGTGTTGACGGCAATACTTACTTGCAAACACGATGTGTAGCGCAGAAGAAGGACTCTTTTATTTCTGATAAGAAAAGCAAAAGCGACAACAATAAATGTCGCCATGGCGGTAACAGCAAGCTGTGAACAGTAACACCAAAGCTGTAATACCAACAAAACAACTAAAGCCAACAATAGTGGCAACACTATCATTAGACGTCAAAAACCGCAGTGACAGCGGAGGTAACTGAAGGAGCGATTGAAAACGGATACGATGTACAATAGGGTGAAGTGATGATGGCAATGGTGATGGCGAACCGCTTAGCCGTTATTGCGACCCTTAATTATTTAAAATATATACATACAAAATCCAAAACAGATGCACACTCAAATATAAATTACATAGACTGCGCGTCAATGCTGAGTTTGGTGAACTTGTACAAATAAATTTAAAAAAAAAAATTTTATTAACAAGTATAGAATTCTAAGAGCTCCATTTAGCACCAAATGTGGCTTAACAACAAACAGACTTCATGGTGGTATAACGGATTGGCTAAACTCAGGGCAAAAACCCGCAAGCTCTTTAAAAGAGGTAAAAGAATCGGTGGATGGGAAAAGTATAAACTTGCCCTCACCGAGTAAATATAAAAAAGAGATGAAAGGAGATGAGATGTGCAAAAAGGACCTTCTAGACACGTTTCTGTATAAAGATTAAAGAACTTACAGGAAGCGCAAGTATCCACATAGTCCTCACAAAAACGCACACTAACGGTTGCAATGATATTTTTTAACTAACTAAATATCCGAGGTTACTCAGCGCAACCAGCGCAATATCATCCTAATCAGAGGCAGGTTCGAAGTTATTATCTCCAACCTCCTACAGAATGCTCTGAACATAGTTGCAAATTGATGTAGTAACAATAATTTAAACGTAAACCCCAAGCAGACTAGCATAGTCATTTTCTCCAGCAAAGGGTAAAATTACTAAAACCATTCCTTTAAGTGAAAAGATACACTTCTCTAAAGAGGTTAAATATCAAGGAGTTATCCTTGATAACAAGCTCTCATGGAGAAAGCCAGGGCCTCTATCTGAACCTGCCGGAAACATATGGGTCGGAACTGGTGCATCAGACCTAAACTGGCAAGGCTGATTTATGACTCCAAACCCATTGCCACTTAGGCTGCACTCATCTGGTGGAAGAAGGCAGGCCAAGCACAGCGAGCTCCAACACAGCCTGTGTGGCACGATGAGAACAACACCAACCGCCGCCCTCGAGGTGCTTCTTGACCTGCCTACCTGCCCTACACATTGAAATTACAGCAAGGCTCATCTCAGGGTTCAGTGGAGAAGACAAGAAGCTTAAATACGCTTCCACACTCAGGGTTAAGGAACTAGATTATGGGCTGCGCATAAGCTTTTTGGACCTGTGCCTTCCAATATTTAAATTGACACAAAACTTCCAGATCTTCTTCCCCGACAAACGAACCATTTAAACCCCTGAAGGGCAGCCACATCCAGTATACTGATGATGATTTTACTTTTGTGCGACATATTTTTGAATCTTTTAATCTCAGTTGTAAGCATGTACTTTCAGCTGCCACCCAGTGTAAATATTTTCAAAAGTTCAATGCTTGTTATTGTCCACATCGTTATTGCTACGCTTATCACCAACAATGTTGCCGGTCTGCCATTGCTGTTGTAGTTGTTGCTTTAGTACGTATTTTAGTTGATACTTAGTAAGCTAAAAGCAATGCCACTCGCAACTTTGCTACTGTCGCGCCATGTGGCACAAAAGCAAGTAAGCTGCTTTGCTTTCATCCAACATAATACAGAGCATAATAACATCAATGGAGAAGAAGAAACGAAAAACTTGCTGCTGCGAATCTCACCACAAGAGACTACATGACCATCAGCGTCTTAGTACGCTAAGTTGTTGTAATTTCTGTTGGCAGCTATGGCAGTCATTACACAGCCATTGTGTCTGGCGTATCGTGTTGCAAGGCAAGGCAACGTAACGAAAATGCAAATTTGATTTTTTAAGCCATTCAACACAAGGCGTCTGTCACTCTTACCTTTCTTTTAGCGTACGCTTGTTACGCGCAACTCCACTCTGGCTCAGCGGCGCCTGCGGTTTTGCCTTCAAATAACTTCGCCTTGTCAACTTCAACGTTGCACCTGTACTGTACTGTTGTGTTGTTGCACTGTCGCGCCCATTAAGTCACCGCTGTCTGCGTCAGGTACATAAGTACCATTCAATGCATAGTTTTTGTTGCCTGCTTTCAGGCGCACACGCGCGTCTAAACGTAAAATATTCAATTAAGAAACTTTTCTTAATCTCACACACACACACACACACAAACTTCCACCAATTTTTTGTTTTTAGCCATCGCCGTCACCGCTGTTGCTATTTTTATTGCCACTTGCCGTCATGTGGCAGCTACAAACTACATGGCCATGAAATGAGCGCTGAAAAGGCTAAAGCGAAACACCAAGTTGGCATTTTAAGTCGGCGAGCTCAGCAGCTACTTGGCACTTCTACCTTGCGACCCTTTTCTGCGCTTTTATTATTTACCACTTCAGCGGTGTCTTGAGACCGCGGTGAAGTGTTGCTGTGAAAACTTTGTTTGCTGTTTGTGCAAGTGATTTGGTTTATGTTGCATGCGTTTTTCCCCAGCATATGGCAACATCATGCAATTGCATATTTAATTTATATTTGAGAAGTTCGCGCGCGCGCGCACTTTGTGTGTGTTTGTTTCGGTGCCCAGCAGCGTATTGTTGTGGCCACCAAAGTTTGTGCAACAAATATGCGTAAAGCAAATCCACGTCACCACAACGCCACATTGCACTTCTGTGGTTTTCTATGCAACTAACGGGGCGGCCACCCTTTTCACACATTTCCATACAGTCGCATTGTAGTAGAATCTACATATGTATGTAGGTGCTGTCCTTTCTTTTCATCGCACCTTCTCTGCTGCACTCTCCACTCGGCTTTTGGAATTTGTGTACTTTTTAATGAGCGCGTGTGCTTTTTATTGGCTTTTTGTGAGCACCACTGCTGTTGCACAAAAATTTGAATTTCAAATTTTGCGGTTAATTTAATTTTACTGCATTTTCTGTGGCTTCTATATTATTTGCAAGCAACTAAGCAGCTCTGTACGTTGACTTTTTGTTGGCCAGCATAATCAAAGCGCAATTAAATATGCAAACGTTAAGAACTAAAAACTGTATATTTTTATATCACTGCGGGAAAAGCCGC